TCATTATAACCAAGATATGGAAGCAACTTAAACACCTGTCAATGGATGAATGGATAAAGAAAATGTGGTATATATACAATAACATATTATTCAGCCATAAAAAAGAAGGAAATCCTTTCACTTGCAACAACATGGGTGAAACTGGAGGGCATTATGCTAAGTAAAACAAGCCAGACAGAGAAAGATAAATAAATACTGTATGGTATCACTCATATGTAGAACCAAAAAAACCCCATCGATTTCATTGAATCAGAGAATAGAACGGTGGTAGCGGGAGGTTGGGGTGGGGGAGGGGAATGGGGCGCTATGGATCAAGGGTATACACTTTCAGTTTTAAGAAGTTTGGAGGTTCTAATCTATAGGATGGCGACTATAGTTAATATGTTATTGAAAGTTGCTGAGAGATCTTAAACATTCTGAACACACACACACACACACACACACACACACACATGAGCTAACTATGTGAGGTGATAGATGTGTTATCTTGATCTTTGTAATCATTCCACAATGTTTATGTATATCAAATCATACAAGTATTGTATACTTTAAATATATACAAGTATATTTGTCAACTATTGCTCAATAAAGTTGGAAAAAAATTTAAATTTTAAAAAGAATGTAATAAGTGAGGAAAAGAAGACACTAGGCAGAGGGGAAAGCATGTGCCAAGTCCCTGAGGTGGGAGGGAGTGTTTAAGGAACTGGAAGGGCAGTGGGTCAAACGGAAAGACAAAAGGGGAGAGCAGAGTAAAAGAGAGCAAGATTTTGGCAGGCCCACATTAAGGTCCCATTAAGGATTTTGGTTTTCATCTTTAAAACAAAAGGTAAGTTATTTATAGGAATTAGACATCCAATGACAGATTAGATTTGTGTATTAAGAAAATCACTTTACTCTGGGGAGACTTGATTGGCAGGGAGGCAAAAATGAAATGGAGGTGGGGATAGCAGTAATTCAGGTGAGAGTTTGGACTAAAGTAGTAGATGGGGATGGTAAGACAAAGACGAGTTTGAGAAATTCTGGGGACATAAAATTGACAACACTTGGTAATACATCAGATTTGGGGGTTTGGGAATGGGAACCGAGTCAAGGAATCTACTATACTATTTGCTTGTAAGACTGGATGGATTAAAACCTTTTTGGAACTGGGAAATTATAAAATAGTCAACAAAGTAAAAAAAAGAAGAAGAAAGTTTGGCTGTTTTTTTAATGAATTGAAAACTATACATTCCAGAGGTAAAGGAAACGATTTATAGGCTAACAATGGGAGCAGAAACCATTTCTACAATTTAGGATTTGTTAAACAATTATTGGGGGAAGGTGATAGGCATGGGAAGAATTGAGAGGGCGGACAAAGGGCTGACATGAAGTAGACATTGAGAAAGGAATTATGCAAATATTGCCCAGGTTGCTGCAGATTCGAGAAACTATGCAACTTTGCAGAAAATCGAATTGCAGCAAAAAGCTTTCACAAATACAAATAAGCAAGCAAAACAAAAATCATGACTTTTCTATTCATTATTTATTTATATTGCTTTCTCCTAGGACAGCCTCTTGTTTCCATCCTTTATTATTATTATTTTGAAAAATTGTGAGCTTGCTGAGCCATGACCCTCACTTTCTCAAGTATTCTGAATATGTTGGGTCTGTCATTACCTAGTTATTTTGAATCAGCGATAATCCTGGGGACCAGCATGAGGATTAATTGTCTGCCTTCCACAGACAATTAATGGCTAGCTGTTTGCTTCTCTGTTGGGTGCCCCCTTTCCTTCTATTCTGGTTGAGTGAGTGTTCTAACCCCATTCAAGTGGAAGCTTCTAGAAGCCATGACTGCCATAATCCTGACATAAATGGTGATGGAGTTAAGTACAAGTGCCCTGGAGAATAGAATGGAATAGCCTAGAGACAACCTGGGTGCCATTTCCTTGGTAGGTGCAGACGTGAACCCTGACTTAGGCCGTTTTTCCTGGGATTGCATTATGTATTCTCGCCTCTAGATGTTGGGCTGGCGGGGATTGGAGTGTGGGGGTGTTGGGTGTTGGGAGGGTTTAGGGATCATCTCTCACATCTCCCAGTCTGTCACTCTTTCATGTTGTGTTGTATCTATCACGTGAAGAGCCCAGGGAAGACAGTCTTCATGCCAGGTGGGTTCCCCGCACATAGCAGTCACTAACACATCGTATTTCTGGAATAAATGGATGGGTGACGAAACGCTTGTGCAACGGCAACTTCTTGCCGTTCCTTTCCTGAGAGAAGCCTGGCCCCTGCTGTTCGTTACAAGCCCAAAGCCCACAATGCGTTTCTATCAATACATGTTCAATTTTTATTTGCTTCCAAATAATGCTTCAGTAAAGTTCATTTTTTCCATATGTGCTAGTATTCTCTAGTTACCTAGAATGCACATTTAAAAATGCTAATAGCTACTGTGCTCCCCCAAATCCATAACCCCAGTCTAATGTTGAGAAAAAACTAAGGGACATCTATAAAATACCTAATACTTCTCAAAACTGTCAAGGTCACACTGAACTAAAGATAGTACAGTGTTTGCATAGACTCCCACGCCCAGTTTCTCCTATTGTTAACCTCTTATATTAGCATGAAAACTTTATCACAATTAATGAACTAATATCGACACACCATTATTTTATAAATATTGACTTTTTATTATTAATTTTACCCAATTTGTTCTCCATTCTGCAGTCAGTATATCTTTTTTTTTTTTCTATATCCCGCTTGGGGTTGGGAAGAGGAACACTGATGTATTATTAACTAAAGATCATACTGTATTCGGATTTCCTTAGGTTTTGCAGTCTCTGCCCTCGGGAGCTCACAGCCTAGGGGGAGACACATCCCGCAAATTTAAAACAAAACAAAACAAAACTCCGTGATGAACCCAGCATAGGAAGAAGGTTGGCTGTTCTAAGTAGCAGGGAGTCCCACAAGGAAAGGGGCCTATTTCAGACAGGGGCTTGGACCGAGCTAACTCATGTCCAGAGTCGCCAAATCCCTTGCGACAGACGCATTCTTTTGTTGTTCACGGAAATGAAACAGTTTTTCAGGCCCTTCAGGAGCTCCTCCGCAAAGGTGGGAAAGGGAACGCAACCAGCCCAAGGATGTCAGCGCAGCGAGAGAGGGTGGGAAGGTGGGGGGCCCCCGCGCCCCGCCCCGAGCTCCCGGGAGGCCGCCGGCCGCAGCTCGGGGAGGTGGCGACTGCGCGGGGCCGCGCTCCCGCCCTCCTCCGCGCCGACCGACCCGTAGCGCCTGGCGGCCCGCGAGGGGGCGGCGGCTCCCGAGCTTTGTGGCCGCAG